ATCCACGCGGGTAGCGTGGGCAGGCTGTTGTCATGGGAACGGCGGCGTAGGCTGGACTGACGTCAGTGGGCGGCTCGCAGCCTTCGCTGGTACTGGGCCTCTTCTCAGATCCCTAGTTGCTGGGAGCCAGGGTGAGTCCGTTGCCGATTCCCGCCTCCCAGCTCAGATTGGCTAGGTTAGCCGCTTAGTTCGCCTGGTTGACGCCTCCGGCGGAACAAACGGCTCTGCGCTGTCCTCTGGGTGAGTATCCGGCGGGTGTGCCGGTGGCGAGAGCCGAGACCGGCCTAGGCCTCGCGGAGATTGCCGGGTGCCCCACCGGCTGAGGATGCGAACTCTGAGGTACTGCTACTTACTCTTCGGGTCTCCCTGTCTCTTGAGAGTCTAGCCTGGTCCTCTGACTGAGTGCAGCCTTTGCGTTTCTTACTTCGGATTCTGATTTAAATACTTCTTAAACGGATGCGTGCCAAGTACTTTGTTTATTTTCTTTAGAGTGTTAACTGGGTGCTGAATCTGGAGCCTGTGAAATGCCTTATTAATTATGTCTCAGGAAGTGATCTATGTGTCACATTTATAAAAGTCAAATTATATTAATTAGGTCGTTTTGCTAGGCATAAAAATGAAGAAAAATACAGCACGGAAACTGTGGGCTTTTTAGGATTCTCTACCGAATGGGTGAGCTGCATTTCAGCATTACTGGGAAAATAAAGCTTTTCCTTTTTTTTTTATTGAGAAAGGCATGGTTACAGGTTTTTCTCTTGTTGCATTAAAAGTTGCTGTTGTTCCTTGGGTGTTCAGAAAGATTGCTTGTTAGAAGGAGTCCGGGAAATTTTTAAAAGAAATTAACATGCAAAAGTATTTTTAAACAATATTTAGAATCTTTATTTATTTACTTTTGGGATTGAACTCGGGACCTTGCACTTGTGAGGCAGACGGTGGAACCACTGAATTAAATCCCCGGCTCCTAGACTCTTTTATGAAGATTATTGTGTATTTATTAATTGCATTATGTAAAGTGTTTTTGTTTCTCTCTGCCTTTTCTACTCCTCTTTAATTTATTTTTATATATATATATATGAGGTTCAGAGATTGTTTTCTTAAAGTCCGGCCTTAAATTTTGCTGATGAGTTTATCAATCAAATATTAGTCATTCTGTAGTATGCTGTTTGTAGTACACACTATTTATAAATGATCTTTTCTGTAGTGTATTTGCCATGCTATTAAGTATTAGTTGTTTATTCAATTATGCTTTAATAGTAATTTATATATATATATATGAGGTTCAGAGATTGTTTTCTTAAAGTCCGGCCTTAAATTTTGCTGATGAGTTTATCAATCAAATATTAGTCATTCTGTAGTATGCTGTTTGTAGTACACACTATTTATAAATGATCTTTTCTGTAGTGTATTTGCCATGCTATTAAGTATTAGTTGTTTATTCAATTATGCTTTAATAGTAAAATGGTATATCTAATTTACTTAATCATATAGTTTATTATATAATTATTTACTTATTAAATGGGCAAAAAGTAATTTTATTGAACCCCTACAAGTGTGATTACTTTGCTTTTTGATATTTCCTTTTCCTCACAATAAGATAGTAGCCATTTGAATTTTCCAGGCAAACAAACACAACATCAAGGCTAGTGGATTAAGTAGCTTTTTTCAAGACCACACATCGTTGACAAAACAAGAGCTCAAGCCTGAATCTTTTTAACAATTGTTACTGTCTTTTAAAAAAAATGGAGATATATAAATAAAGAGAATACAGACTTAGCCCTCCAACTAACAGCTTGATAGGTGCCCATTTTTTTAATTGGGACTTTAATTTAGGGGGTCTTTTTTTAGTTCTCTCTCCCTATATATATGTGTATTATATATGTGTGTGTGTGTGTGTGTGTGTGTGTGTGTGTGTGTGTGTATATATGTATATATGTAATTTTAACTTGGTAGTTGCATATTTTTAAAAATTCTCTTTGTTTTCATAGGATCCTGATTGAGTCATTGCTTTATGTAATTTTTCAATGCTTGTCACAGAGTTAAGTAATGCCAACTGGTAAGACTTCTATGAAATTTATGTTCAAAATTCTTATTTTATGCATTTCCTTTAAAGTTTGGTTTATTTTAACAGGTTTATTTGTAATGAATAAAGTACATGTAATCAGCTGAATATTACATTTAGAGAGGTAGTAAGTATTTCACGGTTGGTTTCTGCTGCAGCTACTCAATTCTGACATTAAAGCATGAAAACAGCATAACAATTCTTAACTGAATCAGCTTGTCTTATTTGAACTGAACTTCACAAAAATAGCTGATTGACCTGTAGGCCACAGATTGCCCAATAAATGTATTCAGCATTTATTAATTTAAAACATATTTATTGACTACCTGTTCTGTGCCAGACTTCATTGTAGTAAGAGAGTATAAATATAAACTACATAGTATAATGAGAGGTAGACTATATAAATATACAAGTAATCATATATATTCTAGTTGGACTCAGTGCTATGAAAGAAAAGAACAGCCTTCTAAGTGAGGAATAGGAAAATTTAGGTGAAGGTGTCAAGAAATAGTCCATTTTAGAGGACACACTTAAATCGGCAGCTTAACACCATCTGGTGAGGAGTTAAGAGTAAGAATGCACCAGGTAAAAGCAGTTTTATTCACATGGAAGGAGATTGCTCTGCTGGAGGAGCTACAAGAAAGACAATACAGCTAGGATGTAGCTACCTAAGAGGATATTTGTCTTGATTTGGATTTCTGATAGGTTAGGAATTGCAGAACGCTACAGGACCTGTTTTATCTTGACTGAAATGGGAAATCTTCATTCTTAAGCAGGGGAATGGCATGTGTTTAAAAGCTAAAATAACTTTTGTTGTTGTTGTTGTTGTTGTTGTTGTTGTTTGTTTTGAGAAAGGGTCTCACTATGTAGTTGAGACTGACCTGGAACTCACTGTGTAGCCCAGGCTGGTTTTGATTCACAGTGATCCTCCTGCCTCAACCTCCCGAGTGCTGGGATCACAGGAATGTGCCACCACTCCTGGCTTAAAATAACTTTTAATACTTGTTGAATTCTGACTTAGAGACTAAGCAAGTGTTAGTCACTTTTCATGCAGGCTGATCTTTGACAGAGTTGTGATTTTGCAAATAAAATGAAATCTAGAGATTTTAAGTGATTGGTCTGAGACCCCATAAATTACAGCAATAGATGCTACTGTGCATCAAAAGTAAAAAGTTAACTTAGCAAAGGAGACCTTTAGAGGGTGTAGCCAAAAAGTTAAAAAAGACTCAGATGACAGTGGTGTTACCAAAGCTAACAGAAAAAGTGTTTCAAGATGGAGGGATTGTACTGCTGTTTTAATGTAGCTAGAGAACTTGTGCAGATATTTATAAGACAGTATCCTTATCATAATAATTCAGGTTTATGTTGTAATAGAGTTGCTTAGAAAATATAACATGAGTCTTTGTTTTGTAGTTGAGAGTGAAGCCAAGGTAAAAACCAAAGTTCGCTTTGAAGAATTGTTTAAGACCCACAATGATCTAATACGTCAAAGGAAAAAACTGAAGAAAAAACTTAGAGAAAACATCTCAGTGAGTAATTAATTGATCATTTGGTTTTTCAACATAAATATCTACATAAAATCATGGCTTTCATGTTAAAATTCAGATTTGGAAATTAAAAAGAGTAAATCTTTGTCTTGATCAGTAACACATGAAAAGATAAAGTTTACATTAAAGGAGCATCACTATTGGAGTCTTGAATTCTAATTCATTTGGGAGTGCTGTCCTACAAGAAGGACATACACTGGTGAAAATGACAGTGATATGGAAGACATATGAGGTGTTCTTCTTTGAGAAGAAATGACTAAAATTGAAATAAAATAAATGATAAGTAATGAGGACATATAGACATTTAGCCTACAAATAAATGACCATCTTGAGATTAAAAAAGGTCTGTGGAAAGATGAGTCCATTTTGTATTCCAGATAAAATTTATGAGATTATAACTGTATATATAGAAAGAGTTTTTTAATTTCAAAAAATAAATTTTACAAATACCAACACCTTTTCATACTTCTCTCTAAAAACACTAAATCCAAAAGACAAAGAAGAAATATCTAGAGTAATGAGTGAACAACTGTGAATTAGAATTTAGTAGCCTGAGTAGCATTTGTGAGAGCAACAGTACACCTGTACATTCACAAATGAACTATGCGAAGATACAATTTTCAGGCATGAATCGAAGATAAAAATTTAAGTATGGAAAACTTATAATCTGAAAATATTGTTCAGTGAGCTTAAAATCAGTTTAATATGTAGAACTTTCTTGATTATCATGTGCCAAAATAATTGCTGAAGCTTTATATTAGATATGTATACAGTCAGTCTTCAACTAAAGATGGTGTTGTGTCCTAATTAACCCATTTTAAATTAGGAATGCATTTAGTACACCTAATATCCTGAACATACTAGCTTAGCAACATAGTCCCCTGTAGAGTGCTGTTTGTTTCCTGTTGTGATAGTAAAGCTGGCAGGGAGCTTCGGCTCCCTACTGCTACCTGGCATCTTGAGAGAATCATACCACATATTGCTAGCCTGGGGTAAGAGCCAAATTCAAACTTCAGAGTAAAGGCCAAGCATGGTGGCATAACCCTGTAACTGCAGCACTCTAGGAAGCAAGGCAGAAGGGTTATGAGTTTGAACCCAGCGTAAGCAACTTAGCAAGTGAACAAGACCTTATCTCAAAAAATAAAAAAAAGGACTGGAGGATGTACCTCAGTGTGAAGGCCCTGCGTTCAATCCCCAGTACCATACACACAGACACATACAGTACCATTTTTACTTCTTTGCACCATCATGAAGTAAAAAATCATATGTATGATAAGGACTACTTATATATAATAATACATAGGTTTTCAGAAATTGGACAAGTCAACCTAGCTCATAAAGAAAAAGTCATGTAACTATTACTTTTACATAGGTTGTAGTTATTCATCATAGAATCTGAAATAATTTAAGTAATGTATTATATAAAATAGATTAATGCACTTTTAAATAATCAGAGGTAAGAAATAATCACAAGATCTTTTTGTTTTGTTTTTTTGGGGGGTTTTTTGATACCGGGGACTGAACTCAGGACCTTGTGCTTATGAGGCAGGCAGCAGCATCACTGAGCCAAATCCCTGGCCCTCATATGAGATTTTTTTAAAAGAAGAGAATAATGAAATAAATAAGAGTAAACTCTTAGTCATACTAAAATAGATTTTTAAAATAATAGTTATTGTCCTTGCAAGAATCACATGTCAAATAAATTGAACAAGTTTAAAAGTGCAAAAATATAGCTGAGAAATGCATTCTAGAAACTTACAGTTGTCTGAATTATGAATATATATTGAAAGAACAAAAACCTTTAAGTAATATATGACTGAAATTAATTATGTTAAAGAATAATCCCACTCAGCCAAATAGTTCCCACCCAAGAACTCAAGAATAGCTTATTAACTGGATATTGGCCAATATTAACAAATTAGTACTGATAAATTGAGTAAAAGGCATATAACTGTATAAAAATTAAAAAGGAAAACTATAATACTACATAAGATCCTAATGAGATAATTGACAATGTGAAAATAGGAAGAAAAGGACTAAAGGTGTAGGGAAAGTGGGAAGGGTAAGGGAAAGGTCATGAGGGAAAAGAAAAAAATATGAAAAAATGGAAATAAAGTGTTTGTAAACGGGGAGGGGAGGAGGAGGTGAAGGGAGGGCAGGGACAAGGGGAGAAAATGAGAACCAAGACCTGTCATGTAAAGGTACAAGATCCCAGTAATGAATGTAACTGTACTGTATACCTAAAATGTACCAATAGACTCAATTAAAAAAATTTAAAAGAAAACATTTTAATTAAAAAGGGTGGTATTTTTTCTAACATTTTGATTTTCATTTATATGAAAATTATGGCCCCTCTAAGGTTTAAGTAAAATGAAAATCCATCCATACACATGGCATATTGTGTAAGATTACAATAGTTTCCCATGGCTTCTATCAAGGAGGGAAACTAATCCATGAATGATCTGTAGAATAACCTATTGGTTCTACCTTTAAGGAAAGGACCTATAGGAAGATCTCTTTTCATCATCTGTATTTAATATTCTTGATATTTCAGTAATATTTGTCTATACTACATGCTGGAAATCATACTAAGACCTTTTCATGTATTCACTCCCATAATTTTTGTTAAGTCTTACAATATCAAACTAGATTCGAGAACTGAGGCAGAAATATAAAGAACTTACCTAGGAACATATAATTACTGCTAGTGAATCTAAACCCTTTTGATTCCACAGTTTATTTTTATGACAGCTGTGCTTTACTGCCTCCTATGTGCAAACACTGTGGTTCTGAGAATGAGAAATTATCATTTTTGATAGTCTGAATATTAATATCATTAGAAATCCTAAGTGAATCAAGTGATGTGTACATATACATAAAAACCAACAATATAAAAATCTGTTATAGCTAGAAAAAAGTTATAAAATACTGGATGAAAAAGTAGAAGTAAGTGATAAATACCACATACATAGAAATTATAAAAACTTTGAGAGGGTTGAATAAAATTTCCAGAGGCACAAATTTATGTGAAGTTTGTTAATAAATATTACAGAAGACTTTATACACTTTAGATATTTTATTTATATTTTTTATGGTGCTGGAAATAAAACCCAGGGCCTTGTACATGCTAGGCAAGTACTTTATCACTGAGCTATATCCTGAGTCCCAGTCAGTTTTTTATTTTAGGAACTTAATATTTAGGTTTAACCCTATTGTAATCTCCAGCATACTTACAATTTTAAATTTTATTTTGAGATAGGATCTCATGAGTTTGCCCAGGCTGGTTGTAATCTTGCAGTCTTCCTCCCTCTATCTCCTGAGTAGTTGGTCTTACAGGTGTGTGCCACTGTGCCCACACTGAACTTTAGTTCTTCAAAGAGGGAATTTCAGTTAATTTAGCTCATTATCATTGTCTATATAGTTTATTAACTTGGTTTTATTCTTTAATTTTTCCTTATTTTAGTATTTGTTACTTCATAGAGACAATATCTTTTTTATCTTATGAATTACATTTTCTAAAAATTTTTGTTGTTTGTACACAGTTCATTTCAAACAGTGGGAAATCTTCCAGGTTTTCTGGATACTACGTCCATATATTCATTCTTCCTTAATACTGAACCTATAAATAAATTCACTTTTTAAAATACTTAAATAACTTTTAAGTGTGAAATTATATTGGTTCTATCAAAAACAAATTTAAACCTCAGTCTTCTCAGGATTAAATGAAGAAAACTGCAAATGGATGATACTGATCGAAGTACTTTATCTGTGTCCCCAGAGTATAGCCCAATAATGTCTAAAGGGATCCTAACAGAATCCAGCAGGCAGCAATATAAAATTCATAATATCTAATGTCAAGTGAAATAAATGCAAGGTGTTTTTTTACAAAAATAATATGACCTCTAACCAAAATATAAATCAATCAATATAACTAGGCTTTAGGAGAGGCATAGGGGATATAAAAAGATACAAGAGACACAATCAGACCTATAGAAAAGACAAAGCTGAACTTGTAGAGATTTTAAAAAATACAGGATTTGAAATTACTGACTCGATAACATTAACAGAGACTACATAAAAAAAATCAGTGCTAAGTGTAGTGGCACATGCCTGTAACCCCAGCAATTGGAAGGCTGATCCAGGAGGAGGGCTTTGAGTTTGAACAGTAACACTGTCCACAAAATTGACTTGGGTTTTGTAAAACATTGTACTCAAGAGTAACTGTATACAGAGCCAGGGATTTAGCTCAGTGCTTCCACCGCCTGCCTTGCAGTCACAAGGAACCAAGTTCGATCCCCAGTAACAAAAAAAATGCAAAAAAACAAAAAAAGAGTAATTATATTTTAGTGTACCTGAAATATTTTCTAAGACAAATACCATTCTTGGACATAAAAGCAAATCCAAATGTCTGCTTTAATAACCTAAGTGGTGCACAGTAATTAAAAGGATGAGCAAAAATAATAGAATATGAGCAAATGTATTTGGGCCATTTCAAATACAGTCATCTAATACATGAAACTATTCGATTTCACAAAACAAACTTTTTTTTAATTGTAATACAATAGAGCTAGACGTTAACAACAAAAGTATGTAAGCTACTTAGAAATTTATTCCATAGAGGTGAGGGGGGGAAAAAAACTAACGTATTTTAAAATGAAAAATATTAGCATCATCTTATGAAAAGTGTGAGTTGGTGCCAAAGCCCCTCTAGGAATTATGTTTATTGCAATATTTGTACAAGAAAAAAAACAGACAAAATAATAACAAATATGGGTTATAGGTCAGTGTTAGAGCATCTGCCTAGCCTGTGCTTGATCCCCATCCATATATATATTTTATTAGTACAAAGATGAACTGATCACTAGAGCAGAGTAAATAAAAGCTGAGCATCATCTGATTAGCTTTCTTAAAATTTCATTTTCAAAATCACCTTTGAGACCATAAATTTTCTATTTCTATTTCTTGGTTATCTCTTTTTCCGACTATTCCTCTAGGAGGGTCCTCACGGTTTGTGTATATTAGCTCTACATTATCACTCTGTCCAGGTTAAAAACTAATCTCCCCAGTATTCTACATTGTTGATTAATAATCATTGTTTTTACATTTATATTGCTTGGCTGAAGCTTTTCATGTTGCATCTTCTCTTCCTAGCTTGACACTGATAAAAGCAACTGGCAGAGTATTAAAGAAGCTAAAAGTGATCACGAAAGCAGTGCTAGCCCTAATAAGCCAGAGAAGAGTGTGGGTGTCACTAAAAACAAGCTGAGGAGTACACAGTCAACAACTGAAGATCCAGATGATGGTGTTAGTGGAGAGAAAAACAAGGAAGGGAAGTCAAACAAAAAAGTTCCAAAGGCTGCACAAGAAATGGAACCAGAAACTTCTGAGAAGACAGATTCCACGTATCAGAAAGCACAAACAAAGTCACAGTCAGGTGTTGATTATCAGAATAATGGGAAGGCAAATGATGGGAGAGGAAATAATCATTTATTAAAAGGGGAAGAAGAACTATTGCAAGCCTTTCAGCTCCAGGCAGCTGAAGAGATGGCAAAGGAGATTAAGAAGAAAATAAGAAGGAAACTAAATGAGCAGTTCACTAACTTTTCTTCAGATGCTTTATTGCCTGATGACAAATTGAGCAGTGATAAAAGGAAAAAGAAAAAAAAGGAAGTTCCGCTCCTGTCCAAAGCTGAAACAAGGTACTTTTTGCTGATAATTATACACTGGATATTAGCATCATTCTATGAAAGGTGTGGGAAAGGCCGAGAAGTGATTTTACTAATAATTATGAAATTTACAATTAAGAAAGAATATACTATTTTTTTCATCTTTTGAGTGATAACTGTAGCTAAAGAATTAAAAAATTCTTAGTCCTTTATTTAAAGACATTGCTTCTAAGATAAAACATGGCTATCCTAGATGAGCACCTTCCTATGTGCCAGAGACTTCATAAGAACTAACTTATTTATCCTTTGAAACATTCTTTTGAGGAAAGCTAATACAATCCTACTTTGCTGAGGAAGCAACTAAAAGGTTTAAGCCTCAGGACTAGCAAGAGGCTGAACCAGAATGAGCTCAGAGTCTACTTACTTAAATCTGCTTTCAAAGTAATAGAAAGCTAATTACTTCCTCTTTTGAGTGATAAATGCCTGTTTGGATGTATAAATACAGATTTTTCCCCTTATCATCCAAAAACATTTGCTCATTGAAATCTAGCCATGCAAAGATAATTACTATTGACAACTTGGTGTTCATCTAGTCTTTTCTGTATGATTTTTATATATTTGTGTATATATATATA